TGTCCGTCCCCTCGAGGGCCACCACGGCGGGACCCCCGAGAGGCAGCGAGACGCCCCCCGCGAAGGGCACCCCGGTCCCCCCGGAGCGGGACAGCGGGACCCCCGCCAGCCCCGGCCCCTCCCGGCGCGGGGGGCTGCGGGACGGGGACCCCACGGTCACAGGTAGGAGCGGGGCGGGCTCGGGGGGGCGGCTGAGATGGGGGAAGGGGTGAAGAGCTGAGTGTGCAAGAGCGGGGTTCCATGGCGGGGTGATGGGTGCCGAGGTCCGGGGGTGTCCACACCCCGGGGGGCTGCGTGAGGCTCCCGGACCCCTCCCTGGCATCCCCGTGTCCCCTCCCAGCGCCAGCGCCGAAGGTGACGAAGGTCGCGGTGGTGAGGAAGAAGGTGGTGAGGAAGAAAGTTGTGAGGAAGAAGGTGCTGAAGAAGAAGCCGGAGGCTGCGGCCGCTCCGCAGGAGCCCCGTAAGTGCGCGGGATGGGGTGGCCCGGGCACTGCCACCTGCACACGGACCTGGCCCTGTCCCTGGTGGCACCTGGGGGGCACCTGGGGACACATGGGGGGCTTGGGGTGTCGAGCCGGGGCGGGCAGGGGTCCCTTAGCACCGCTCCGTGGGGACACAGCGCGGGGACATCCCCGGCCGTGCCCGGGGTCCCTCGGTGACCTCGGTCCCCGCTGTGTCCCCAGCGTGCCCCCCCCTGGGGCTGGAGTCCCTGCGGGTGTTGGACACGCAGCTCCGGGCGTCCAGCCACAAGCGGCACGGGCTGGGCGCGCACCGCGGCCGCCTCAACATCCAGGTACGGCCGGGGGTGCCAGGAGTGTGCCAGGGGTGTGCCAGGAGTGTGCCAGGGGTGTGCCAGGGGTGTGCCAGGAGTGTGCCAGGAGTGTGCCAGAAGCGTGACAGGCGTGTGCCAGGAATGTCCCAGGAGTGTGCCAGGATTGTCCCAGCCATGTCCCAGGAGTGTCCCCAGGCGTGTCCCAGGCGTGTGCCAGGATTGTCCCAGTATTGTCCCAGGCGTGTCCCAGACGTGTCCAAGGATTGTCCCAGACGTGTCCCAGACGTGTCCAAGGATTGTCCCAGGATTGCCCCAGGATTGTCCCAGTATTGTCCCAGGCGTGTCCCAGACGTGTCCCAGGATTGTCCCAGTATTGTTCCAGGCGTGTGCCAGGCGTGTGCCAGGATTGTCCCAGGATTGCCCCAGGATTGTCCCAGGATTGTCCCAGGCGTGTCCCAGACGTGTCCAAGGATTGTCCCAGACGTGTCCAAGGATTGTCCCAGGATTGTCCCAGGAGTGTCCAAAGATTGTCCCAGATATGTCCCAGGAATGTCCCAGGATTGTCCCAGCCGTGTCCCAGGCGTGTCCCAGGCTGGGGGCGATGTTTGGGTGGCACCCTCATGGCACGTGAGACGTGGGTGTGGCAAGGGCGTGGCGAGTGCGGGGTAGGCGCGGCACGCTCGTGGCGAGTTCGTGGCCCCTTCACGGCACGTTTGTGACACCTTTATGGCGAGCTCGTGGCATCTGAGTGTCACACGAGTGTCACAGGGGCTCCCCAGCCCGGTCCCCTCCCTCCCCCGCGGGTTCCCCGTGATCCTGGCGCCACCACCCCGGTGCCACCGCGGGGCTGGGGACAGCGGGGGCGGTGGGGACGTGCCCCTGTGTGTGTCCCCACCCCCTCCCCGCAGTCAGGGCTCTACGACGGCGACTTTTACGACGGGGGCTGGTGCGCGGGACGCGAGGACACGGAGCAGTGGCTGGAGGTGGACGCGCGGCGCCTCACCCGCTTCACCGGCGTGGTCACCCAGGGCCTCAACTCCATCTGGACGTAAGGGACACGGGGGACTCGGGGTGAGGGGACAGGCTGGGGGACCCCCTGACCCCCCGCTCTGCCCCGCAGATACGACTGGGTGACATCCTACAAGGTGCAGGTCAGCAACGACACCCACGCGTGGCTCCCGAGCCGCAACGGCAGCGAGGAGGCGGTGGGTGCCCGTGGGGACCCCGGCGTGGCACCCTCGGACACAGCGGGGGTGACACGGGGGGTGACAGTGCCGGGGGAGGCGGGGAGAGACCGTTTGGGGGGTAATTAATTGCGCCGGGGTTAATTATGCGAGGTGAGTTAACAATTCCAAGGGTTAACCATGCCCAGGGTTAACCATTCCCGGTGGGATAACCGCACTGGAGAGGGGGTTAACCACCCTGGTTAACCACACCAAGGAGGGGTGACCGCCCCGGGTTGCCCATTTTGGGCTCCCTGTGCCAGCTGGCACCGAGCCCGGGCTCTGTTGCCCTTGGCCTCCCCACCCCGGGCACCCTCCAGCGCTTCCCCCCAGCACAAAGGCGGCTTGTCCCCGCCTGGGCACCTGCCAGCCGCGCTGGGGACACGCCAGCCCCCCTGGCACGTGTGGGAGCAGCAGGAGTGGCTCTGCGTGGCACCGGGGCTGAACACGGCAGCCTGGAGCTGGGGAGGGYTTGGGGTCCCTGTGTTGGGGCGGATTTGGGGGTCCCTGTACCAGGGATGGGTTTGGGATCTCTGTACCAGGGGTTAGGTTTGGGGTTCCCTGTACCTGACCCGTGCCAGGAACAGATTTGAGGTTCCCTCTCCCTATGCCCATCCCTGGGGACACTGCTCCTGTGGGTTTGGGGTCAGACCCCGTCCCCCTGACACCCCCTGTCCCCTCCGTGTCCCCCGCAGGTGTTCCCCGGGAACAAGGACCCCGAGACGCCGGTGCTGAACCTGCTGCCCGTGCCCCTCGTGGGGCGTTTCCTGCGCATCAACCCCCAGAGCTGGTACCCGAACGGCACCATCTGCCTGCGGGCGGAGGTCCTGGGCTGCCCCGTGCCCGGTGGGTGCCCGGTGGGTCCCKCGGGGTGTCCCCTGCCCCGTGGGGACCCCGTGGGTGCCCTCACCCCGCCCCAGCAGCGCCCGATGCGGCCACACGCTACAAGCGCTGCAGCCGGAGGCGCGGTCTGGGCTGTCCCCTGTCTCTGACCGTGTCCCCCCCGTGTCCCCTCCGTGTCCCCGCGGCTCCCCGCAGACCCCAGCGATGCCCACGCCTGGCACCCCCCGCCCCCGCCCGCCTCCCACCTGGATTTCCGCCACCACAACTACAAAGAGATGAGAAAGGTGCCACCCCCGGGAACCTGGCGTGGGGTGGGGAGGGGGCTCTGTGTCCCCACGGACACCGCGGGGAGGGGCGGGGCGGGGGGCGGTCAGCGCCACCTCAGGGTGTCCCCCCGGACTGTCCCCAGCTGATGAAGAGGGTGAGCGAGGAGTGCCCCGACATCACCCGCGTGTACAGCATCGGGCAGAGCTATCGCGGGCTGCGGCTGTACGTGATGGAGATCTCCGACAACCCCGGGCAGCACGAAGTCGGTGCGTGCCGGGGGGACCGCGGGGGACAGCCGGGGACACCGGGAGTGGGGCAGGGAGGGCGCGGGGACAGCGCCCGGGTTGGTACGGGGTGACTGGGGACGCTCAGGATGGGGATGGGGTCACCAGGGATGTCCTGGCTGCTGCAGGGGGGTGGGGACAGTCACCAGGCCACCCCTCCAGCCCCAACCACATCTCGGTGGCCGTCAGGCGAGCCGGAATTCCGCTACGTGGCCGGGATGCACGGGAACGAGGTGCTGGGCCGGGAGCTGCTGCTGAACCTGATGGAATTCCTGTGCCGGGAATTCCGGCTGGGCAACCCCCGCGTGGTGCAGCTGGTGACGGACACCCGCATCCACCTGCTGCCCTCCATGAACCCCGACGGCTACGAGACCGCCTACAAACTGGTAAGATCGGGATC